TCCATGGCATTTCCGTGCATGGGACTTAGGCTTGCCAGATAAGTGAGCATCCACAAAATAATAAAGCCATTGCTTTCTGATTACATCATTTCCCCTCATCCTTCACCCTTTGCGGGTGAAGAGGGCTGAGCAGGCTCTGAACTGGGTGGGATGATCAGACAGGCAATCCACCTGTCCATATTGAGCAGACTTCAGGATTTGAAGAGGGACTGGGAGGTAAGTGAGCTTGTGGAGAGAGAAACCCAGGCTGGGAGAACGCATCCCCGAGGCCAGGAGGTTGGAGCAGCCATGCGTTATGGAAGGAGCAGGGAGGAGATGGGCTTACATGGGGCACAGGACTCCTCTAGGGATGATGAAAGACAATGCTGGCGGTGAGAATGATAAGGTCCAGGTGTGCTAGGAATACTGTAGCAACCAGTACAAATTTGGGAAGCTATTCAAGGGAGTAACTGAATTATTCCATTTCCTATTTCTCAGCCCAGTTTGTATGTGATTTAAATGTGGCTAAAGTAATGGAAGGTGGTTGCTGGAGGGAAGCCTTGTGGTTGCTGGAGGGCCGCAAGTGCTAATATTCCCAGTCCACCTCATGCCTCCTCCGACAGTGCTCAGAGCACTGCCCTGGAAATTCTGCTACAGAATCCCTAAGAATTATTGCCAGGCCTTGGACATAATTAATATACTTACTAGTCAGAATCACATCGTGGTGTACACAGGTATGTCCCAGAGTGGGCAGCTCTGCTATTTGTCACATTTTCCAGGAGGCTTCCCGGAGCCCCACGCCTGCTGTGATTTTTGCAGCTGATCGCACAAGTGTCTGACCACGTTAGTGTTGATCTTGAGCCTGGCTGTCAAATTACACTCCCCCAAAGAAACATTTGTCTGGTTAAAAAAATATATTTAGAGCTGAACTCTATACTCCCTGCTATGTGGACATCGAATGTAAATTATTTCAACCCCGTTCTTTGAGTCAGTAGAGGCTGAACTATGAGTGCCTTTTTCTAAGTGAGTATTTCATGAGGTCTTTTCAGAAGGGCTGGTTTCCGCTCAGTTTCTCTTCCATATATCATGGTAGTCCCTTGGTTCCCTGCAGTCCTAATGTGGAGAAGATGATCTGTCTTGATTGCAATATCTCATCCAGAATTTCTCTCGTTTTTGTAAGTGGGAAGGGGGATATTCACACATTCTGTAAATGTACTGGGTTCTTATGAAAATATTTTGAAATTTAGAGTAGAATTTAGTATAAGAAAATTCCATCTTGGACCATAGCCAATGAGATTTAGGGGATTAAGACTTCATAATAAATGAGACTGGGATACTAGGCCAGGCGCGGTGGCTCACGCCTGTAATCCCAGCACTTTGGGAGGCCGAGGCAGGTGGATCATGGGGTCAAGAGATCGAGACCATCCTGGCCAACATGGTGAAACCCTGTCTCTACTAAAAATACAAAAATTAGCTGGGCATGGTGGCGCACACCTGTAGTCCTAGCTACTTGGGAGGGTGAAGCAGGAGAATTGCTTGAACAAGGAGGCAGAGGCTGCAGCAAGCTGAGATTGCACCATTGGACTCCAGCCTGGGTAACGAGTGAAACTCTGTCTCAAAAAAAAAAAAAGACTGGGATACTTAAAGATTGTTCCTATGGGTAGGGCTCAAGTGACATAATATGGTCACACTGTAACTGAGAAATGAACACAGAATTTGAAGAAATCATCCCAGTCTATACTGCAAAAAGGAAGTAGCCTGCTAGGTGAAATGGGATTTATTACGTAAAATGGATAGTGATTTTATTTCTGTTTAAATGGTGAACTTTTTGCTCTTCCGCTTCTTTCACGTAACTTCAATAGTGAGACACCAGTTTCCATTTAAGAGCATGAGCCCTGGAGTCAGATGGCTGGAATTTGAAACTCAGCTGTATTCCTTCTTACTTGTGAGATTACCAACCCATTTAGAAGAAAAGGTATGGGCGTAATATAGTTATTTAGCATCTCTAAGACTTCAGTGTATGATCCAGAAAATGATAGCTATACCACCACCACCACTAACAACAAACAATTGTAATCTAGCTCATAGCATTACTGTAACACTTAAATCATATAATTCATGCGAATTGTTTAGTATCTGGCATATATTCAGCAGTCAAAGATGTTATTAGGAAGAGCAGTGTAATATCTGATATTGCTTGTAATGAGGTGAAACATTCAGAATATTTTAACAGGGACAACACTGATGATGGCAAAACTATTAAAAAGAGTCAAAAACACCTCCAGTTTTGGATGATAATCAGGAAGGAAGCATTTGCTTAGCCCCTTCTAGGCATCCTCACTGTGGTTAGCTTGATAGCGATTTATTGCTGGCTCACAGAAGAAGCCCTTCATCCTTCTTTGGTTTAGATACATGCAAAAGCATGTATATGTATGTGTACACACACATTGTTTCCTGTGCACACCGTTGCAAAATGTAGAGAGAAGCATTCTCTCTGACAGCGAGAATGTCACAGGAAAAAGAGAGCTCTCTTCAGTCCTCTCAGATAAGCCACAGCCCATTGAAGGACTTTTTCCTTAACTCCAAAGCCAAGTAACCAGCACTGGGGCCAATCATCTTTCAACAGTCTGGCCTTTCTTCTTCTGTGGGGTGTGCTCTAAGTATGATCCCTAGGGAATATGGAAAATTAAACAAGGGAAATAATTTATCTTTTTTTCCTCCTTGAAGTCAGAAGCTGCAGAAATAAAGGGAACCAAGATACTTATAATAGGATCCATGTAGGTTTTCGAGGACAAAGTGACAGCAATCATATGTATGGCTTAAAATAGCACACTTCAGGTTAGAAGTGTTACGCAAGGGATGTTATACTGGCGTTAGTCCCAGCTGCTTAAAGGAAGCTAAGATCTCTATTCCTCGTCGTAAAAAGACTTGCCTTCTGACTACACATCACTCATTTTGGCCACACAGAAAGAACTAAACAGCAATCTGGAGGAAAACTGAATTGGGAAGAGACAGAAAAGATAGGCAATAAAAAGTCGGGCTATTGATACTGATTGGGATTAGCACCTCTGATTCATGGAGTGGGTTTTCAACGATATTGGGTGGTGCCTCTTCAAAGAGTGGGCATAGCAATTATCTGAAGGCAAAGTTTGGGGAAAACCTAAGCAAGGGTGGCTAAGGATCCCCTGACAGTCTTCTCTGCTTTCCTGTCTGTCCTGAGAGCTGACAAGTGCTGGGGCTGCTGCTGAGAACATGGTGCTCCTATCACCCTTTCTCAGGGGAGCCCCAACTGTTCAGCCAAGGTCTTTAATGCTTTGAAAAATAAAATAGGTGAAGGGTCAGGAATGTCCCAGGAGAAAGAAACAGTAATTGCTGTCCCTAACCAGGGAAATATTTTTATGTATTTGGGGACTGAAAGAAAACCAGTACAAATGGAGAAGAAAAAGTTAATGGAGAGAAAGGCAGGGAGTGGATAAAGGAGCAGGGGCCTTTTCATGATTATGAAATCACAAGGTCATGTGAAGGAGTTTAGATGCTTATTTAGAAGTTTATTTAGATGTTTATTGGTAAACCACTGGGGACTTTTAAGCTGGGAAATTACAAATTATTTGCTATATGTTCACATTTAGGAAGATCTCTAAGTAACCCCAGGACATTCCCTGAAAGAATAAGTTATACATAGACCTTATCAATACTCAACCCAGGCTTGGGAAGCAAGTTGGGGTGGTAACACTCTGTCTCTCAACATTATCTAGTCTGCTGGAGGGCACAGCATTTCAGTGGTCCCTCTTCACCACCCTGTCATGCCAATGGGTCTTTATTCAAAATAGAGCTTATTACTTTAAGGAAGACTGGGGAATATTCTGTATCCCATGCCTCAGGTTAAGATATTGAAGGGGGAAGTCCAAATGAAATTGTACCTTGGAGATTTTCCGGACAAGAAAATCCTAAATGGGTAACCTGGAGATAACATAGGGACTGCTTGAGATTTTAACAAATCTTTTAAATGCCACTAAAATTTTCTTCAGGTCCTTTTATGTTAGTCCAAATCTGGCTATAATGAACTGTTAGAAAGAAACAGATCCCACTCTAAGGCTCCACCTATTTGGAGCAACAATAGGTACAAAACAGATTTATGTCTTTATCAGTCACCTTAGGTCTAGTTATGCCACAGTAACAAACAGCCCTCAATTGTCAATATCACAACGAAAACAAGGTCATTTCTCTCTCAAGTCACAGTTTGCAGGCCATCTGGGCTCTGCTCTGTGTCATTTGATTCCAGAGCCTAGGCTGAAGGAGCAGCTCCTATCTACACCTCTGTCAGCCTCATGGCAGAGGGAAGAGCAATAGTGAGACCATGTGTTAGTTTTGAAAGCTTCTGCTCAAGTAGGGTACAAGCCACTTTCACTCACATTTCATTGTCCAAAGCAAATCAAATAGCCAAGCCTCATCTTGGCAAGGAGGGGAGTATACTTGTTCTGCAGGCCCTGGTCTGTAGGCAGAACGTTGAATATTATAAACCTATGGTGCATTGTCTAACAATGCCATACTTCACTTTCTCCTTTTTTTTGTGTGTGTGTGTTGACTCTAAGGTGGAAATTGAGTGATGATCTTACATTTATAGACCTGAAAACTGTCAGATAAAGTGATTCAGAATATGATTCAATCCCTGAAAATTAGCGTCATAGGTGTTCCTTTTTTAAGGATAAGTTTCTGAAAGTCTGATATAAGCAGTTTAGAAGTGATTAAATACAATTTTACTAGAAGAAAAGATCATTTAATAAAGCAGATTCTCAATTCCTAATCGGATATGGTACCAATCTCTCAAAGATCTGAAACTTACTGCTAGGAGGATTTTTATGCAGGAAAAGAAAGAGGTTCTTATATTTCTTTTTTCAAATTAGAGTGAATGAGATAAAAAGAGTATACTGGTACCATAATTTTAGCCAACATTATGTTTTATTTAAGAAAGTCTGTATTTTGTGGTTAGCTATGACATATGAAACTTTATTTCCACCAAGGATGAAAAAAACCAAACCAAAACAAAGCAAAGCAGAACACAAACACAGCTTCTGGGAGTCAAGGAAAGAAGACAGCAAGGATTAAATGCACATCACGTTGAGTGGAGGACCTGTCAGCTCATGCCTGGATGACTGTGGTGGTCCCTATTCTTCTATTGCCATGAAGACAACTGCAACCACTTTTCCCTACTTTGATGTCACCCCCTGGTGAGCTGCCATACCGTGCATGAGTTGTTCTGTCCAAGCTTTCGTGCCTGTGGAGCGCTGGTGACTCACAGAATAAGGTACTCAGTGCCTGGCTTCTCTGGGTAACTTTAAGCTCCTGCGGGATGTTGACTGTGCTCCAATTTATTTTTTATTTGAGTTCTTCCTAAATACTCATTGAAAGAATGACATTGTGGAAAAGCTGAGTTGGATTTTCTCTGGAGATTTAACTAATCCTTTACAATGATTATTAGTGATCAAGATGCTTGATTCTATTGCTTGAGTGTAGAGATGATTGGCCATGACCACAGGGCCCTTAGCTGAGTAAAGTTCTCCTCATCCCCACAAAACAGAAGCCCTTGGCCAGGCTGAGTGCTTTGGTCCTGCAGGATGAGTGGATCTCACAGTGCAGCCTTGAGAGAGAGATTCCAAGCTGTACTGGTCACGGCTCCCTTCCTTGCTAAGGTAGAGAACACTGTGCATATGTGCAGGTTTTACTCTTGGCTGGTAGGGCCTGGAATTGTTAGCAAGTCCCATGTCACACACATGGAATGCAACATGTGCTTCCCCTCCAGCTGTGAGATAATGCAAATATCTTCATATTCCACTCAAGCTGTCAGACCCTGTAACTTCGAGAGGCTAGACCCAGACGGTGAGCTAAAAGTTCATCCTTGCTCTTTTCTGCTAGAAAGCCCAGGGTAAGGTATCACTTGCATGTTCGAAAAGACAGAGAGGAGAATTCATGCATGTAAAATGCATCATATAGTGCAGGCACATAATAGATGCTCCATAGAGGTCATCTCACATAGCCTTTGCAATAACCTTGCCAAGTAAATATTCTCATCGTCATTTTAGGGGCAAAAAAGTCAATACTCAGAGAGTTTAAATAACTGTCCATGTCAGTCATGGTCCTGGCAGGAAAACCAAGACCCACTCCAAAGGGTTTAACAGAAGAAAGTTTAATGAAGGGCACACTCTACAGAGGTGTAGGCAGGCTTACAGGCACTGTCTAAGGACATAGAGACACGGGATGAACTCCTGGGAGCTCTGAGTAGCCCTAGGCCTGAAGAGCCAAAGGCGGGAATGTTTGCAGAGCCTGGGAGTGCAGGTGCTGTGGAAGAGGGATGTAGCCTCATCCATTGGCCAATGGGAAGGCCCAGGACAAGGAGTGCAGGTGTTCCTGTCTGTCTCTGGGGTTCAGCTTCTCAGGCAAGGCAGCAGGGAGGATGGATTTGGAGGTAGGTGGTGATCTGAGAATAACAAGAGCATCTTCTAGTGTCACCATCTAGTGGTACTGGGTGCAGGGGGTGCGTTTGTAGACAGCTATGACTCTGAAGTCTTGCAGTCTTTGCTAAGACGAGAAGAGGAGAAAATCCATTCTCTTCTTCCCTGTATCTCAACTTTTCCTTCTGTTTTTCCCTCCTTTTCTCCCTTCTTTCCTCACTCTTGCCCTTCACCCTCCGCCCATGTTTCCTTCTTTCTTTTCCTCCCTTCCTCCCTCCCTCCCTTCTTTCCTTTCTCTCTTCCACCCTTACTCTGTCACAAAATGTAAGGTGCTGGAACACAAATAAATATGACCTGACTCCCTCCCTCGAGATACTTACGGCAGCATCATGTTAGGATGGAGCTTGTTCCATTAAGGGCACTCTTGTTTAAAGCTCTGAGCACAATGTTTTTTAAAATTTCATTGTTAAAAAGGTTCCATATGTGAAGTCCTTGGTGATCTCCAAGGCAAGAGTACAACCTAAGTCTACCTCCTCTTTCTCTAGAGCCTTCGAGGGCTCGCACATCAGAAGCTGCCTTGCTTCAGCTGACCAAGCCCCAAGCTTTTGCTGCTGCATCCATCCATTTACTTTTCAATGTGTTTTTCACTCTGCTTTGTAACCCGGAGGACTTAGGTCTTTATGTTGACATATTTTGGGAGCACTTACTCCTGAGAGTTTTCTTGGGAAAATGGGGTGCTTGGGACAAAGCCTTATCACCAGCTCCCTGCTGTCTTGGCCAGGGAGACCCTTGGCAGATAAGAGCAGGGTCAGAGTCAGAATTCCCCCTTGGCCTTCCTGCTTCCTTGTGTTCTGAGCCAGGGTAAAACACTTCTTTCTTTTTCTGCACCTTCATTTATAAAAGAGACATAATGGCCCCTTTTCCTTGGAACAGGAGTGATGGAGGCTTCTGTGCATTTCCAAAGTACTTGGAACTCTCCCCTGGCTGCCCGGCTCCTCACTTGGTACGTGGAGAGTCAGGTCAGGCTATTGTGCTGTTGATTGTGCTCCTTGTTCACAGAGCACATCCACTTCAGGCCGCTGCGCACACTCACCATTCTCCTCGGTATTATTGACTTAAGTACTCTTCAAGGAGAATTTCTCCAAGGCTCCCGTGTTGACACCCTGCTAGCGTTTTGAGAGCCAGACTTGCTAGCTGTTTGTTGCTTTGGATGAAAGCCTGCAATCGCTCTATTAAACATTCCCCATTCAATGGGGAAGAAGAAGGAGAAGCCTATCTGCTGCAGAAGGAATTGGATTTTTCTACAGTGCAGGTTGCTATGGGAAGCATTCCAGTGCTGGGTCAAGCTTGCCAGGCAACTCAGGGCAGGGTACTGGGTTGTAGTGACTCAATGTCTCTCCCTCTCTCTGGTCTGCCCAGCAAAAGCATTTGGCCTAAGGACTTACTTACCTTCTCTAACTCTATGCCACTGTTTCCCACATCAGTTCTTGCCTCTTGCCTTGTTGCCAGAGAAACCTGTGGAACGAAGGAAGCTTGGAGATCTGGAGATCGAGAGAGCATCTCACATGCTTCATGGGGAGGAAGGACTGATATTGGAGTGAATGGAATCTAGACTTCTGTGTGTATCAGGGTAAAGCAGCAATGCTTTTTTCTGGCAGACCAAGGGCATCCTTGACAGGCAGCCCAGGGAGATAGAACAGGCACCTGTCAAAGAATTAGTAAACATGGATTCATTAATCTGGACTTTTGTCCAGAGACAGTTTTGTGACTTTGGACAAATCACTAAACATTTCCAGAGCCCAGTGTCTTCAGTTATAAAAATGAGAGATGAATATCAATGTCACAGCCCTCCTTACCTAGAAGGCAGGAAGACTCCAGAAGCTGAACAACTCTGTAGTAGGCCCAGCACTTTCCCTAAGATTTTTCCAAGTATTTGAAAGGTGATACGGTGGGGAGCCTTATTCTCCAGTCAAAGTCCTCTCTCCGGCCAGAAGGCTTTTTCTTTCATGAAACACAGATAGGAGTTTCAATTCTATAAATATATATTGAGAATGCAGTATACGAAAGTCTCAGAAATGGCTATGAAACAAAATTGCTTCTAAGAGCACATGGCTGTACAAGGCACGTGCCTCCTGGTTTGTTTTAATGATGTTAAAATTCATCATTAAAACAAAGAATATACTATCTTGGACATTTGTGAGTGTAGTTTAAGTTCTGTAGTGGTACATAGATTCGCATTGTTGTGTTAGCCAATCTCCAGAACTCTTTTCATCTTGTAAAATGGAAACTCTGTACCCATGAAACAACTGCCCTTTCCCCCTCCCTCAGCCCCTGTTCTGCTTCCTGTCTCTCTGAGTGTGGCAACTCTAGGGACTTCATGCAGTGATACCACACAGCATGGTTGTCCCGTATTATCCACGGTTTTGCTTTCTGCAGGTTCACTTACCCTCAGTCAACTGAGGTACAAACATATTAAATGAAAAATTCCAGAAATAAACAATTCAGTCCCTGTGCAATGGCTCATACTGTAATCCCAACACTTTGGAAGGCTGAGGTGGGCAGATTGCTTGAGGCCAGGAGTTTAAGACCAGCCTGGGTAATATAGGGAGACCCCACCCTGTCTGTATTAAAAAAAAAATTTTTTTTCTAAGTTTTAAACTGCACACCCTTCTGAATAGTGTGAGGAAATCTAGTACCATCCTATTCTGTCTGGCTTGAGACATGAATCCTCCCTGTGTCCAGTATCTTCACACTGTACACTTACATATGTATAGGAACAAAACAGTATATATAGTGATATGGCCTGGCTCTGTGTCCCCACCCAAATCTCATCTTGGATTGTTATCTGAATTATATTCCCCACAGGTTGGGGGAGGGACCTTGTGGGACATAATTAGGTAATGGGGCAGTCCCCTTAAGCTGTTCTCTTGATAGTGAATGAGTTCTCATGAGATCTGATGGTTTTATAAGGGGCTTTTCCCCTCTTTGCTCTGTACTTTTTCTAACTGCCATCATGTGAAGAAGGACGTGTTTGCTTCTGCTTCCACCATGACTATAAGTTTCCTGAGGGCTCCCCAGCCATGCTGAACTGTGAGTCAATTAAACCTCTTTCCTTTATAAATTACTCAGTCTTGGGTATGTCTTTATTAGCAGGGTGAGAGTGGACTAACACATATGGAGTTAGTACTATCTACTGTTTCAGGTATCCACCGGAGGTCTTGGAATGTAACCAGGAGGATAAGGGGGATCACTGTATTTGTCTTTCTGGGACTGGCCTATTTTACTGAGCATAATGTACTTCCAATTCATCCATGTCATAGCCTATTTCAGGACTTCCCCTTTACAATGGTGCAATCCTATTTATTATGTTGTAGCATGTTTCCCATTCACAAAGGCATTCCTACTTTTCTTTCTTCCACACTCCTTTTCTCTGCATTGCAGTCGGGAGTGGTTATTGCCCCTGGTCTACAGCTAAGGAAACAAGCCTCAAGGCTGCAAGATCACATAGAGAGCCTGGGACCAGAACATGGCCTCGGGTCACTGGGTCCAGCACACTTTCCCTGAAGGTCAACTGCACGTACAAAGCCCTCGCTGAACTTGGTGGTAGTTCACAGGGCATAGGCAAAGCAAAGACGTCCAGGGGTCGGAAGACTCCACCCGGGCAGAGAGAACAGATCCAGCAGCAAGTCAGTGACAGGACAGAAGTGGAGGGAAGGCCAGGTGGCAGACCCCAGCTCTGGTCTCAGTCCAGGTAGTTGGCCCTGCTCACCCTGGCCTCTCACTGTCTCCAGATATAGGAAATAGGATTTCCAGGCTAGTCTCAGGAGTTGGGTGAGGGCAAAGTGCTGCAGGGCTGACCAGCCCTAACAAGGTGAATCCTCCAGATTGTTCCTCAGTGATTAGAGCAGCCATCCAGGAGGGACGGGTAATGAAGTAGGGATCTGAAATATGCAGTGGTGGCTGCGGGCAAGCTGCCTGTGATTGCTGCCAGTGGGAGCCAGGAGCTTTAATGAACTGAGTGAACTCCCTTCCCTTGGAAGATTCATACTTTGGGAGTCTTGCTGGAGTGGTAGGGCCTACCTCTGAAGCTGGCATCTTACCTCTCCTAGCATTTCTGGCTAACCCACCAGTCAGTTCTGAAGAGTAGACCTTGTGCTTGGAAGAGCTCACCACCCTTCCTGAGCTCTAGCTGCTTTTTGGTTGCCCCTGGCAGTGGTAATGCTCCTACACCTAAAACAGCTAAATAAACCACACCACAGACATTTAAGTCACATTCTCTGGGACCTGGGCTTGGTCAGAGCAGGAAATAAGCAGTGGTTTGCTGCCTTTGATTCCCACTGGGAAACTGCCTCCTACACTACTCAACTCTATCCTCTCATTTGGGGACTGTTCTGGGACATTTGCTATTTGTCATGGCTGGGGGCTGGGTTATCCCAGTGAATCATATATTCTGGTTAAAGGTGAGCAATTAGCTATTCACAGAGCACAACTTTTCTTTTTCTTTTTTTTTGTTTGCCAATCAGTTTGAGCTTATGAGGTTGCTCAGGTTAGCCTTGAACTGATGACCTCGCTTTCGCGAGTGCCATGACCTCCGGCGGGAGCCACTTTGGACCCCCACAACTTTTCAAAAGACCTAGAATGCTAGCAAACATGCTGAACTGTAAGTTACAAGTAACAGAACCTAATGTAACTTTTAAAACACTGAAGCCACTTTTATTTCTTCAGGAGCATCAATATGAACCTAAGCGCCCAAGAATTGAGAAAACATGCAAATGCTAGTTAATAGAATGCTGGATAAACAGCTTCTAATGAATTTCCCATGTCTTGATTCTGTCATTTTTTTTTTTTTTGAAAAGGCACTGAGTATGTTTGAAGATGATTAAGATTGTGTAAACTAATAAAGAAGGGTTGACTTTGGGGGCAACTTCAACCAAATCTGCATTCGACACGGAATTCCCCTCTTTAAACTTTTCTGACGTTTTCCCCACTGTCTTTGCTTTGGTTTCGGGGGCTCACTACTCCATTCTATTTAGTAGTTTACTTTTGGAAAATGTTTCTTTATTCTCACCTTGGAAACCACAGGGAATAAGTCCCATCTTCGTGTTTTTATAGAATCAGAACATTCTCATATCTGTGTTTCCAGTTTCCTTTTAGCTGAAACTGTCAGTTTCTGCAAACTTCCTCAAGTATTTGCAGACCCCGTTTTGAATGTTCCCTTGTTTGTGGGTGTTCCAAGGAGAATTATGAAGGCACACACGGTAAATCTGAGACTGAATGCCATGAGACTATCACCTCCATCCTTCTGGATTATATGCTTCTGTGATAGTGCCTGTGAGCTCTTTCTGGGGCCATATTCCCTGAGTTCAAATCCTCGCTCTGCTACTTTCTATCTCTCAACCTTGAGCAAGCAACTAAACTCTTTAATGCTCAGTTTCCTCATCTATGAAAGAGGTTAATTATAGTATCAACCTCATAGCCTCACAGGGTTATGGCAATTGATGTCATATGTGTAAGTGCTTAGTGCAGACTTGGAACTTGGTAAAAACTCAATCAGTGTAGCTGCTTGTAGAACAGCTGGCATGAAATCAGATAATGAAGGCTGACTGGCCAGGTTCACATCCCAGAATAGGTTTAAAATTTGACCCACCATCTATGAGCTGAATGGCCTTTTGTAAGTGGCTTAAATGCTTTGTGCCCCAATTTTCTTATCTGTAAGATGGAGATATAGGGTTTGTATGAAGATTCAATGGAGCTGTTTTATGTAAGATACCTGAAACAGAGCCTGAAAAGTAAAAAGGGCAAATGAGAACTGTTATTATTATTATTATTATTATTATAGCTTGGAAATGCATTTTATTTTTTAAAGAAGTCACATCCAAAAGTTGACTCATATTGGAGCTATGGTCACCAACGTACTGGTTCCCATGACCCCTCTTCATTGTGCATGGAGAATTCTCATCATTTATTGTGTGCATGTGAGTGTGTGTTTGTGTGTGTGTGTGTGTGTGTGTGTGTGTGGCTCAAACTATCCTCTTAGCAGAATGTCTTGAACATGTAAGTGCCTTTAGAATATTGGTCTTTGGAATCACATCTATCTTTCCTTTGTGCTATTTGAAATCTGCTTTCCTTGATTCTGGATTATTTGATTGCATACTTTTCTAGACTGTGCTTGAGAGCCACTGCTTCTGAAACTGCTTGGATCCTTCCTGGTAGAACCAAACCCCTATGACATTGCACCCACCACTGTACCATGTGTTTACATAGCTTCACCCCTTGTTAGACTGTGCTAATTGATTTTTCTGTATTTATTATGTCCAGGCCTGTTTTGGAATAAATGCTGTGCTTAACCTAGCCCAGAATCCCCACCTGCAACAAAAGTGATAATGTTAGAGAAATCTGTCTCAACTGAAACGTATTTCCAAAATGGTTATTATCATTACTGCTAAAATAGCAAAGTTACTTTTCCAAGTAACTTTCCATTTTCTTTTCTGTATCCCAGCTGGCATTTCTTTCAAGAAATTTCAGAATTAAGTCAGCAAGAGAAAAGAGAGATAGCTATCTTTATTTTTTCTATCTTATTACAGGTTAAGAGATTCAATTATTCCTTAAAATAAAATACAAATTTATCCTTTGTTTTCAGCAAAGGGAGACTTACATCAGATGTGTAGATTAAATGATTTCCATTGCTCCTTTATATTGCATTTAGGCCAGTTTTGTCACTGAGGGAAAGTATTGAACTAGTTCTTCCTGTTGCCATACCTGGCTCTAATTTCCAACTGCAGCTTCTTCTTTAAAATCAGGTTAAAATAATCAGAAGAATTATTTTAACCTAATTTTTTTTTACCTGAAATTGAAATATTAAGCAAAGACACCACAAACAAAGTCAAAAGCAAACAACTTGGAAGAATATCTACAGCATATATTATGGACAAAAATGTTAGTATCAAGTTAATAAGACAAAGACAAATACACCAGTGTAGAAATGGGCGAAGAATATGAACAGGCAATTCACAGAAGAAATGCATATATTCAGTCCACACTCAAAAGCTGCTCTATTTTGTTAGTAATCAAAGAAGTAGAGATGTAAAATGTAATGAGTTTTTTTTAACCTATCAACTGACAAGACTAAAATGAATAAAAAAGGCTAGTATTAGTGTGGAGTTAGAAAACAGAATTCTCTAGAAGTAGTTGAAGGGAACATAAGCCTCATGTAGCATTTTACCAATGTTCAGTGAGAGCTTTCAAATGTTAGTACTTAATACAATTTTACTTTAGAAATACATTTGTAAGAAAAAAACCTGACAATTGTGCAGAGTTATATGTAAAAGGCCTGACACAGGCCTTTAGTTTTGCAGGGTTTTCTCACTGGATATAAGATTCAGGCCTAAAGTAACAAAGTTTTCATGGGTGACTTGGCCATGAAAATAATTTCAAAGGAATGCTTGTCCTAGAAATTTTGAGAGTTTGGAGTGTCATACAAATGTTTCCAAATTGACTGAAAGAAAAGCCAAGTGTGAAGGTATATTCTGTTGTAGCCTTCAACAAAAGTTGCTCTCTGGATACTTGGTATATTTAGTTGACCTAGAAAGTTGAAAGTAAAGAAAACAAGGAGAAGAAGAAGTAGTATAAAGTATAAAGCCACAGAGAAAGAGAAAAAAAAAACAACTTCTTTATCAGAATTAGGCTTGGCTTCAAGCATTTAAATTGTCATGTCTAACAATATTGTGAATATCTCCTTTTGGGACTGAATTAAAAATTTTAAGGGACTAATATAAGAAGGTTTGGTAATCTTTGGGAATGAAGTCGTTATTCTTTACGGCCAAATCTAGGCTGGCAGGGATGTGACTTTCTCTCCAGACTGTCCACTGCTGTATGTGGTTTGGTCAGGTTGACTCACAGGTAACACAGTACTTGGCTGTGACACACAGTACTCCCCATGACACACCTCAGAGCGTCAATTGATTTCTATATTTTTTGGCTCATGGCCAAGAAAGTGGGGCACCCATTCCACACTTCTGCATGTTTTCCTTCCAATTGTGAATTGATTCTGATAAACAAGCCCTATTTCAAGGCTTCTAGCAACATTAGCCTCAAGAAATGTGGTAGGTGAAAAGAACTGTGGTGTAACTATTTCTAATAGTCAAATATGTAATCATAAAATAATTTGGCTCAAAATTAAGAACATTCCCATAATGAAAAATATTTGAATTAAAACAGAAGCGAAGATATTTCAGTCACGCCATGTAGATCCAGCCTTGTGCTGTGCCAAAATCAGCAAAGTTGCCCAGAAGACCACACCTGTTAGGGCACATGCAATGACTGACAGAAATATTTGAAACCTCAGTTAAACACAGATAAGAATAGGTAAAGAGATGACAGAAGAGCACCTGACAAAATTTAACAACCAATTAAAGATAAAAACTCTTGGAAGAATAAGAATAGAAGAGAACTCATAAATCTGAAAAAGTGCAAAGCAAAAAACCTACAGATAACATCATACTTACTGAAGAATGCTTGAAGATATTACATATAGGATAAGAAACAGGACAAAAACATCTGCTTTAATCACTTCTATTCAACATTATGCTGGGAGCCTGGCCACGATAATAAAGAAAACAGACCAACAAACAAACAGAATATCCCCAAAGAAAGAAACAGTGTAAAAATGTGAAAGGAAGAAATAAAACTATCTTTAGTTACAAATGACATGATTGTATACATAGAAAATTTTAAGTGATCTACTAAACAACTACTAGAAATAACAATTTATCAACTTTATAGGATATAGATACAATAAATGAAAAGCAATTTGTTTTTGTATGCTAATAGCAAAAAATCTGAAAAATGGAATAAAAACAATTAATAGCATCAACACATAAACTACTTAGGAATAAACTTAACAAAATTACAAAACAATGCTAGGAAAAATTTTTTAAAGGCTTAAATTAAGAGAGATATATCATATTAATGGACTTTCTTTCTTGATTCAAGATTCAATATTGTTCAGATATCAGTTCTTCACAGACATAGCTGGGCATGGTAGCTCACACCTATCATCCCAGCACTTTGGGAGGCCAAGGCAGGAGGACTGCTTGAGACCAGGAGCTCAAGACTAGCCTGGGCAACATAGTGAGATCCTGTCTCTGCAAAAAATTTTAAAGAGTTAGCTGAGCGTGATGGCATGTGCCTGTAGTCCCAGCTAATTGGGAGGCTGAGGTGGGAGGATTGTTTGAGCCCACTCAAGGCTGCAGTGAGCTATGATTGTGCTACAGCACTGCAGCCTGTGGGACTAAGCAAGACCCTGTCTTCCCCCTCAATACTCCCACAAAAAACCCACAAATGGATTCAGTGCATTCCAAATCAAAATCCTAGTTTTTTTAAATAGAAATTGATAAACTGGTTTTAAAATTCACATATAAATACAAATGAGCTAGAGTAGCCGAAACAACTTTGAAAAATAAAGTTGAAAAACTTAGTACTATCTGACTTCAGATTTTTTTTGAAACTACAGTAATTATGATATTGGCATCGAGAGGGACAAATAGATGATTGGAATAGAAAATAATACAGAAATAGACCAGAACATATATGGTCAACTGATGTTTTGCAAAAATGCCAAGCAAATTAAGTGAAGAATGAAGAGTTTTTTTTTCCAACAAAAGGTACTAGAATAATTGAATATTCATATGCAAAAAAAATTAACTGATCCATACTTCACACCACAGACAAACATGAACCCAAGATGGATCATAGGCCTAAATGCACAACTTAAAACTATCAAACTTTTCTGGGAAAACCATAAAATGAAATCTTTGTGACTTTGGTTTGGGAAAATATATTTTTAGTTATAGCAACAAAAGCCTAATCCATAAAAGAAAAAACTGACAAATTGGGCTTCATCAAGATTAAAGAGTTCTGCTCTTGGAAAAACACTGTTCCCCAAGTGACATACTTAAAGCAAATGTTTACAAATCACATCTGATAAAAGACTTACCCAGAACATATAACAAACTCTCAAAACTGAAAAATAAAAAATAAAAAAAATAAAAAACAAAAGTGTGCAAAAGATTTGAAAGCATATTTACCAAAGAAGATACAGAAAGGGTGGGCACACACAGGACGAGCCATCATTAGCCACTAGAGGAAAGCAAAGTGAAACCGCGATGAGATACCACTTCATGAGAAAGGCTGCATGCAGTTAAAAACCAACGACGCTGAATGTGAGCAAAAGTATGGAGCAACTGGAATTCTCATGTAAAATCACTTTGGAAAACTCTTTTGCAGAGATTAAGCATTTAAGTGAAACATATTCTTCCCCAGTGATTCAGCATTTCACTGCTAGATACTAACTCAAGAAAAATGAAGACATTTAACCGTAAAAAGACTTATACAAGAACAATATGTTAGCTTTACTCATAATACAAATTGGATACAACTCAAATGCCCATCAACAATAGAATGCCTGAACAAATTGTGACATACTCACATGTTGGAACACTACTCAGTAGTCAAAAGAAAGAACAACATCTACTTGTAACCACATAGATGAATTTCAAAAATATGCTGAGCCTAAAAACAAGGCACAAGAGATTCCACATTGTATAACTGAAATTATACAAAATTCTATAACAGGCAAACTAATCCATGGTGATAGAGTAGTGGTTGCCTGTAGAGAGGAACTGACCAGAAAGAAGGAAAAGGGAAATTCCTGGGGTGATGGCAGTATTTTTTATCTTGACTGGGTGGTGGTTGCATAAGTGTATTGTATAGTTTTGCCCAAACTCATTGAATTATACATTTAGGATCTGTACCTTTCACTATGCATAAAATGTATGTTAAAAAGAATAGTAATGGACTCTAAATACCTCCTTCCTATGTCTTGCTTACATTTTTTATAATGTATTTTTGTGGTTGTTACCAGTGGTGGTCTTTTGACTTGAAGAAGAAACTCTTAAGAACAAACACTTAGTTGTGTGAACAATTGCATGTCCCAATATGGAGAGGAGTCAGTTGTGCACACCAGTCTCCTTTCATGATGGACACCTCTCATTATGCATAGAGGGAGCAAAGTTGCTTGACAGTTACACTGCCATCAAAGCAAAGGACAGAGCCAGTCAAGAGCTGAGGCTCTGGGCTCAAGCACATGTGGTTTTGAATCCTGGTTCCGGCATTCTTCAGCCACTTGACTTTGGGCAAATGACAGAGCTTCTTGTCGCCTTGGGTCCTCACCTGTAAATGAGGACCACAATGCCTGCCTCATGGAGTAATTAGGAGGTAAATGACAAAGTGCTGCAGATTGTCCACATGGTGTCTGTTAATGAGATGAATAAAATGAGGCTTCTCCTTAGTAGATAGGTAGTACTTTAGAGGATTTGGGATTTTGTTTAGAGATCTGTCTGAAAGTCTCCAGAAAGATTTACTTAGAAATACTTTCTGCTAAACGAATGAGTCGGTTTGTGATAAAGAAAGAGACTTTGGTCCCTGGGTTCACACCTCTCACCTTTCCACAAGATTATTTTCACCGCTCACTCCCAACTTAAGCTCCTGGTCTCACCTCTACTTTACCTCCTTAAGCAGGAACAGGTTGTCAGGTTCTGGTTTCACACGGAAGCGAGGGAACGCTTTTATTTATTTTACGTATCATTTAGATCTGGGTTACTTCAAGAATGCTTAAGGCCTCCAGTGGAAAAGCATGAAAACTTAGCATCCACTTCAACTGGGTGTTGGGTGTCAGAGTCTGTGCCATTTGAAGCTGTGCCAATCTGATACTCAAGGTGCACAAATACAGCCAATCAAAGAGGATTCTTTAAAGGAGATAAGTTTCTAGGATGGCCCGAGTTGCATCCTGAGCTATACTATGTCCTTCTCTGACCCCTGTCCCCAAGACAAGATTTGGACAGCCTCTGGTTGAGTTACCACCTTTCACAGCTCAGAGATCTGTGTGATATTGCAAGAGTCATTTACCTTTCCAGGTATCCACCAGACCGATCTCAGAGTAGAACCCAAGTTGCTCACAACTCCCCTGCATCACCAAGACTGGAGCCTAGCTGCCAGAGTCTTCTCTTTACTTGTCTGACTGGACAAATTACAGTTTTTCCAGTCCCAGTTCCAGCCAGAGCATCTGTGATATAATACAGTGGACCATACCCCTGTGGCCTTCTCTGAGGGTTCTGGAGCTCCATATTCTGGCTTCTCTGAATGACCCCAGCACTTCCTCTCTGTTCCTCTTATTGACGCACATTCGGAGCTGGGGAGCACTTAAGTAGCCTGATGTCCAGCAGATCAGACTTCAAGTCCTGCCGTACTGGCCGTGTGACCTTGGGCCAGTTGAAACCTCTCAATCTCTGGTTCTATGAAATTGCCGTCATAACAGTACTTCTCTGTTTTCCTAAGGATTTAATGAGATAACATACCCAAGGGGCTGGTACTTAGTAAGCCCTTAACACATGCCAGCAGTTATTCTTACTGTATTTACCAACTATAATAATGTTTTGTATTATTCGCCAACTGTTGCCTCTAATGAAATCTTGAGTCCCAAATTAGCTATTTCTGTGAGGGTCAAGACAGCTTGTATAGTCTTTTTATCTATCTCCCACCATACCTAGGGTGATGCCAGGGGTTGGGGGCAGTACTGACAACAACTGAGTAAGTGATTATAGGTGACTTGCTATATGACTTGCTATGCCTCTCCGTATACCATATGTATATACATATACCATTGTATTAGTCCATTCTCACACTTCTATAAAAAATACCTGAGACTGGGTAATTCACAAAGAAAAGAGGTTTAATTGGCTCATGGTTCCACAAGCTATACAGGAAGCACAGTGGCTTCTGCTTCTGGGGAGGCCTCAGGAAGCTTCCAGTCATGGCAGAAGGCAAAGAAGAAGCAGGCACATCTCATTACCATGAGATTTGGGTGGGGACACAGGTCGAAACCGTATGAACTGTATACATACACATACACATATACACGCACACATATACATGCACATATACCTTACACTCATGCTGCGAACAGGGGATCTGACCTTAATTATTCTCATATCGCCATGTTCTTTCCCCAGAACTTTCTTTGGAGTCACACTTTCCACATGCAGATGAATATTTATATGTATGACCGACTTATCTTACAATTTTGTTTTCTTTAAGAAAACATTTGCTTCTTCTCAGTAAGCCCAGGTTAAACCCTGTTGAGCTGTTAGTTGATCCCTTTCTTTCTGAAAGAGGACAAAACATCAAGGCATTAGTTCACAGATTACAGGGATCTTCTTTAAATCCTCCTAACTAGTTCAGTTTCAGTGTATTTGCTACTGTGGAAAAGATGGCATCATTCCTGAAGGGAACACAGAGAATCGGGTGGCACGAAGACAAAAGCCCTCTGGATTGCTGCAAGAAGTGTCCTCAGGTAACCGGGGCTCCTTTGTGAGAAAACGAGAATGTCCTGGCTGCTGAAAACAACAGAAGGTGGCATGGTTCATGTCGGGCAATTAGGTGACTTCAGCAGGTGCCGCAGGAAAGTTCCCCTGCTCTTGCTGGTCTGTGTAGGGCTTCCCTCTAACCTGCCTGTCCGGGGACTGGGAGAAGGGCTCCTGGGAGGAGGGTGAGGGGCCATGATGCCTGGACCTTGACCTCCTGTTGATACCTTGTTCAGGCTGGAGCTAAGCCACAGACCCCACAGCCTTTAAGACCAAATCCCTGCAGCAGAGCGGCTGGGACCCATTACATGCTTTTCATATCCTTTTGTAGGAGGCTGGGTGAGGGTGAGGGGACAGGATGGAGAGCTCGTGACAACACCTCTTCTCTTTGGCCTCTTCAACACCACAGGCCACTAAGAGATGCAAGAGACCAGGACCCAGAATCCCGAGATACAAATCAAACACCCAAGAGTTCCCAGTGTCTGTTTTCTTCTGCCTAACCATCGCTGGGGTCTCAGAGACAAATCGGCTCCCTAGGACTCTTATCCACCCACACTCTCCAGGATTTTAGCTATTACTTTTTATTGACCTCTTGTGGTAGGTAGAATGTTATATCACAATTTGAGATGTGCAAAAAGTAGAGGTTTTTAAACTTCATTTTGCTATTTAATTTCTATTTTGAGCCCCCCTTTAGCCAAATGATGAAAATGTAGTCAGATCAGGATCCTCTTCTCTTTCTTCAGGGTCACTCACATCTATGCCCCAGCGGGTAGATAGTATTGAAATGTAGAGGGTGTGCGGGGAGGAGGAGAGCAGGGTCATCTGAACCTGGGTGTCATCTTGGCTCTGTCCTGGCGGCTGCAGAGAGGCCCTTCATCATTCAGCTCTCTGCCGGGATGCTTTTGTTTCTGACTTCTTCTTTGGGTTCTGTCTGCCTCTCTCCTTTCTCTTTCTCTCTGCTATGCCTGCACCCTCTCGGGAACAGAAAACATATCACTGGCCCAGCATACCCTCAGTGGGAGAGCTTCTGAGAGGCTGCCTCAAGCCCGCCCCCCAGGCACATCTCACAAACATTTCCTCTGCGCCTGACCTTACCAGGCAGGGTGAAAAGAGGTAGGGGGTGGGTGGGGCTTATTACCCCTCAAGGCTTTCCCTAGGCCCAGTAGGGTGATCTTTTCTGCACTCATGGTATTCTTCCTTCTCTTTCCTACAAAACTCAGGACCCAGGAGCATCCCAGTCTTCCCTTCCTTCCGTCCCGCGCTCCCCTTCCTTGCTTTTGGACCCAGGAAATCTGTCCAGTCCCAGGGTGGGGAAACCTGACATTGATATCATCATATACATTTTATGCTTTGAGTCCCCAAGATCATATTGACTTTCTTCCCTCTCTTTGATCTGGTACAGTATTGCCCTTAGGCCTGGATAAATAGGACCCCTGCACCAGTCCCCACCCCTCAGGAGACCCTGCACTCTGATGTATTTTCTCTGGACATTTCCAAGTTCTCTTCTGGTACTTGAAGTATCCATAGGTCCCATCTTCATTTCTCCCTTGCTGGTCTGACTCTTTTTCTGTTTTGTTTTGTTTTTTAGGAGATGGAGTCTCGCTCTGTTGCCCAGGCTGGAGTGCAGTGGCACAATCTCAGCTCACTGCAACCTCTGCCTCTAGGGTTCAAGCAGTTCTCCTGCCTCAGCCTCCCCCGTAGCTGGGACTACAGGCGCACGCTGCCACGCCCAGCTAATTTTCTGTATTTTAGTAGAGACAGGGTTTCGCCGTGTTGTCCAGGCTGGACTTGAACTCCTGAGCTCAGGTGATCTGCCTGCCTTGGCCTTCCAAAGTGTTGGGATGACAGGCATGAGCCACCGCACCCAGCTCTGCCTGACTGTTCACTGCAGGGTCTATCAGATACCTGAAGGGCCCAGACCTTGCACCTATAGCATCGTCCAAGGCCCCAGTGCCGGGCTTTGGTTCTAAAAGGGTGACCTGTAAGCAGATTCCTCTGTTTTTAAAAGGGTGAACTGTAAGCAGGTTCTAAAAGGGTGGCCTGCACCAGACGGAGCAGTATTTAATTCTCAGAATCCTATGAGATTGGACCACCATACTGGTGCTCCAGTCATGCTGATCTGAGGTGACCCAAACTGTCTATGTGGACAGTTCTCTGTCCCCTGCAAAAATATTTGCCTGGCACCGTTGTTAAAAAAAAAATAAGACAAATTAAGAAGTTTAACAAATTTTAATTGAGCAACAAATGATTTGTGAATTGGGCAGCCCTGAACCAGAACAGGTTGAGAGAGGCCTGGTTGAAAAAGACTTGTAGAAAGTGAAAGGGAAGTGACGTGCAGAAAATGGAAGTTTTCTTTTTTGAGACGGAGTTTCGCTCTTGTTACCCAGGCTGGAGTGTAATGGCACGATCTCGGCTCACTGCAACCTCCGCCTCCTGGGTTCAGGCAATTCTCCTGCCTCAGCCTCCCGAGTAGCTGGGATTACAGGCACACGCCACCATGCCCAGCTAATTTTTTTTGTATTTTTTAGTAGAGACGGGGTTTCATTATGTTTACCAGGATGGTCTCGATCTCTTGACCTTGTGATCCACCTGCCTCGGCCTCCCAAAGTGCTGGGATTACAGGCTTAAGCCACCATGCCCGGCAAGAAAATGGAAGTAAGATACATAAACAGCTGGATTGGTTACACCTCGGTGTGTGTCTTATTTGGAAAGGGTTTGAGCAATCAGTTGCCTGTGATTGGCTGAGAAACTCTGACTGGCATGAGAGTAGGTTGTAGTCTGTTTACACATTCAGGTAGGTTACAGTTCACTGTGTATGAAGAAACCTTTATGCTGAACTTAAAATATGTAAGGAGGCAGCTTTAAGCTAAACTTAAATTTAAGACCCCACGTACCCCTGGGGTAACTTTGTTCTGGCTTCTGCCTCCTTCACTCAGGTGAAAAGCATGACATATAGAGCTACTTCTAGAATAAAGAGAGGGCCATAGGGTAACAGAAAACACAAGGAAAAAGTACATTAGCAAATTTACCCAAAGATCATACTGCCATTCTTGTGAAAAGTACCCTACTATATAGTCAGTATTGAGCATCAGAGGTCTTGAGTTTGGCTGGGTGCTGTGGCTTGTGCCTGTAATCCCAGCACTTTGGGAGGCCGAGGCAGGTGGATCACAAGATCAAGAGATCCCAGCACTTTGGGAGGCCAAGGCAGGTGCATCACCTGCGGTCAGGAGTTTGAGACTAGCTTGGCCAGCATGATAAAACCTGGTTTCTACTAAAAACACAAAAATTAGCCGGGTGTGGTGGTGGGCGCCTGAAATCACAGCTGCTCAGGAGGCCGAGGCTGAGGAGAGTCACTTCAACCCACAAGGCAGAGGTTGCAGTGAGCTGATATTGTGCCACTGCACTCCAGCCTGGGTCACAGAGCAAGACTCCATCTCAAAAAGAAAAAAAGATTGAGTTCACGTTAGTTTTAGTCCTGACTCTGCTACTAACCAACTTCATGATCGTGGGCAAGACGCTTGACTCTCTGGGCCTGTTTCTTCATCTTTAAGATGAGATGGATGGATGGCTATCTATAAGAGACGGATGGGCAGATGAGGAAGGGAAGTTTCCAGGCAGACTGGGGAGAAGGAGATGGGAGCTGGTGGCTGTCTTGACTCTCTGTCCCTTTCCAGTTCTGCAGAAATTCCCATTTCCCTGGCTATTGTCCTCATCCTGCCTCTTTCCCCCACTGCTTTGTTTCTAAGAGCAGCTTGGTGAGGTAGATGAAGAGATCACTCCAAGAGTCAGAAAACCTGAATTTTTCTTCTACAGTGTTTGTTGTGACCTCTCGGCAATGTAGAAACGCTCTAAGTGTTACCTTTCTCATCAGTAAGATGCAGTTAAAGATACCTGTTTTGCGTATCGTGGTGTTTTGGACTTCACATATGATAATGCGCATGGAAACAGCTCTGCAGCCATGAAACCCACATGCAAGGTCATGTCTTTCAAGGCATGATCGGGACTGCGTCTCTTCCTTATTCCCCGCAGTTGCCCTTGGGATTCCCATACAGTGCACGCTGAACATTGTTCCAGGTGACTTCACAGCTCCCGAATGAAACTGAATAACAGAGATCACCAGATAAGGTGGTGTTACTGCATTGTGTTCACCACGTGTCAGAGAAAGGACTTCTGTGTGTTTTATTTTTGTTTTAAGGCATCAGAGCCAGACTGTGTACAGTTATTACAGGGAGAGTAAAAACTAAGGGCTTATCTGTTCGAGTAAGTGTGGTTTGTCACCCAAACTGAATGAAACAGTGGAAGATTTCCCGCTAGATGAGACAATGGGAAAGAAAAGCAGGCTTAGAAGCATTTGTGGGAGGGATCTATGCAGACAGGGCAGTGCTCGGAGAGGAAGAAGAAAGTTGTCCTTCTGGTAAAGGCCTATATGAAGTTTGAGAGACAACCGCCACATCTTATCTTTTTGACCTGAGCCAGGTACTCTTGGTCACATCTTAAATAATTCCAACTTGATGGTATCTGGGAAAAACATGTCTCAGACTGTCCCCTCTGCTCTCACACCTCAACAATCAACATAGAGGAAGGCCTCTGTAACCAAATGTGTGGGGTTTCCCCCCGAGACCTGCAGCAGACACCAGCTGGGTGTCCTCTAGTTCGATTCTGACTCTCCTTATCTGGAATAGCATCAGATTCCACAGGTTGAGGGGCTCCCTCAGTCCCCAAGACTGCCCCCACTTCGCGCGCCTGTGGCATGAGCAGGCCATCGGCACTTCTGATCTACTGTCTTTAAGTTGGGGTTCCCACAGCCCCCTCTTAGGACCTGATTAACTTGCTAGAGCAGCTCACAGGACTCAGGGAAACACCTGTCTACTGCTTTATTATAAAGGATACAAATGAAGAGAAGCATAGGGAGAGGCGTGGAGGAGAGCCATGGAGTTTTCATGTGCTGTCCTGGGCACGCCACCCTCCAGGAACCCCTGTGTGTTCAGCTATCTGGAAGCCCTCTGAACCCTGTCCTTTTGGGTTTTTATGGAGGTTTCCCATAGGCATGATTGACATTAGATAGGCATGGTTGACAACCGTGTAGAAACATGACTGGATAAAAAGCTCATGATCTAAACCCAGCAAGGCCTGCCTGCTCAGACTTCTCGTGGCCTCTGCATAGCAGTCCTTCCTCTAGGATAAGGGGCAAGACCCTCTCTGAAATGAGGGTCTTTTTGAACCATAATCAGAGTAGAGTCATGTCTTGGGCAGGTTAAAAGAGGACAGGAGAAGGTCAGAGAGGAGATTCTATTTCTGGAGGCCTGTTTCTGAGGTCTAAAGCACCCCAACATTATAACAAAAGACTGCAGTCAGGGTTATGGGAGTTATGATTCAGGAACTGCAGATGAAAACCAATATGGGTGCATGTGTTTGTATACACATATATATAAAACCACATACAATATCATAATATCACACGACATCATAAAAGCTGAGCATAGGAGGAAAGCTTGAAATGTCCTAGTCTGACCTTCCCCTTAGTTCAGTGGCTCTCAAAGTACCCATGCTCTCAGGCCAGCAGTTGCAGAGAACTTGGTAGAAATGCAGGTTCTTGGGCCCTGCCTCAGGCTTACCAAATCAGCAACTCTGGGTGGGATTCAGAAATTGGTGAACAAGCCTTCCAGGTGATTCCAACAGAACTAAAGTGTGAGAGCCACAGTCCTCATTCATCCCTTTCAAAAACAGCATACCTGACACCTAACAGATGATCTTTCCGCCTCTCTCTATTTCTGGTGATGGGGCGCTTACTACCTCACGAGGCATCTAACCATTAGATAGTTTCTCATTTTCCTAAGATAAATCTGACTTCCTGTCACTGTCGCCCTACTTTATCCTCTGAGTGCAATTCAGTTATACTGACTCCAGGTCACTGGAAACTGGGCTAGCAATTCACATAGCAGGAATTTGGTAAAAGAGAATAAACTGGGAGGGAGGCCAGGGCCTCACATTTTCCTTTCAACCAAATTAAACAGCAAGATTAAGGGCTGTCCTTGGCATTTGTGAGATTATGATA